GGTGTGGTTCCTGCATGAATGTATACAATATGCTGAAATGACTGTGACAAACAATTCAATGTTAGGTCTGTACAGTGTTGTATATAGCCTATGATCAGTATGTAGAAAATAAGATGCATTTTCTAATTCCTTAATTTATTAACAAAGATTATGACTGAAGTCACTGAACTAATATTGCCTATAATTGCCCAATCTCGTACCCAGCTAGAGCAATGCCTGTGCGCGGGCTAGGATGGCATTGGCTCTGGGGAAATTGAATTTTTCTTGTGCTGTGATTGGTTTAACGTGATCAATCGTGCATGCCGACAAAGAACCGGAACCCCTAAATTTAGGGGTTCCGGTTGTCAATTTTCCCAGAGCCAATGCCACACTAGCCCGCGCTTAGGCATTGCTCTGGGTACGAGATTGATAATTGCCTATAACTGTTTTGTCTTTTGAGCAATTATTATTGGCCATGGCTTATGATTTAATTCTTTAATGGTTGACATGATTTGCCATGTACAAAGTTTATGCATTATGAATGAGTATTATAAAAATATTTAAAACAACCTATTGCTATATATTGGCTATTTAACACCCAAGATAACAACCTATTAAACTATACAATAATTTGCAGAACTACGGAGTTTTTTTAATAAAATATAAAACAAGTGAAACTCCATTGATACTAAGTAAAAATATTATCGATATAAATTTAGTTCACTTGTTTTAAACTACAAATTACAATAACCTATTGGTGAATTCGCTTGACCAAAGCAATTGGTTAAAATAACCTATTTATATTCGTTGTACAATGTTCAAGATTAACAAAAAAATAATTGGTTATTTTAACCTATTTATTTTGGTTATAACCTATTCAATTGGTTAAAACAACCTATTTATATAAGTGATAACCTTTCCAAATAGGTTATTTTAACCTATCCGTTTTTACAGCGTATGTGTTTATTTTCCTGTTTATGACTGACTTGTTTATTATATTAACACAAAATATTGTCCATGTATAAGCTCTATCCCTCGTATATACTGTAAGCCCCCCTCCCTCCCCCCTTGTATAAGCCCAACAAAAATATAGCCCAGGGTTTATAGTCCGAGATTCACAGTATTCCATGAACCCATTAAGATGTGATGTTGTGATGGATTCACAGACTGTGTGTCCATGTCTCAGTTACCATTAGCACTTGCATACCCTAATTTAATTTCTATTATTTGACTTCAGTCTCATACCAGGTGTTGGCTGTTCATAGCAGGCCTTAAAATATCTCTTAAAGGGCCGTCTAACAAAATGTCCGATGACGTTGCGTTTGGGTCGGACATCCAGGTTGGAATCCGTGAAAATATTACGCCGGAGGTTACACCAACTGGACACCGACTAATTACGCCACATCCGGAAATAACTACGAATTTTAATGCAAACGTAAATGGCCGCAAAATATCACCTGACCAGTCAGCAGTCAAGAACTTAAATCACGCTTAAATCCAAGTCAGTTGAAGAGTACCATTTCAAATGAATATCCAAAAAGCTAAAGATCTTAAAATATTACAAGATACCTGTAAATATAATCAGTTTCCCAAGTATCAAGATGTATAAGTAAATAATTTGGTGTTATTTTTCATCAGAAGATTCTTCAATCTTCATAATTTACGAATTTTACGGAGTTTAACGCCCCGCCGATGATCAGATGATCATTCATTTGCTCCGCTCGCCCGCCGATGGCGTAAAATATCAAGTAAATTTTACGCCGGAGATATCCAGCGTAACACGCACGGATTCCAACCTGGTCGGACATATGTCCGATGACTTTCAGTTCAATTTCGAGACTCGGAAACAAGTCTGAATGCCGACAAAATGAATATCAGCAGAATGTATTAATTCTGAATGGTAAATGTTGTGAAGATATTAAATAATTTGTTTCTTTCATACTTATTTCCAAGCCAAAATTAACTTGCTTTCCAGAACAGCAGTAAAAGACTTAAACAACTTAAGCCCGTTTTCCACTTCACCATGCATTTCGCTCCCCGCCCCGCGCTTGACTATGTTAAAACAAATTTCCACTTCACCTTTTATACAATATTACTCTGATTTTCCATTTAACATAGAAGATCTAGTCCTGGGATATAGGGTACATTTTGATTTACGTTGGACAAAGCTACAGTTCGGTCGGACACAAATACACTCAGGTCGGACAAACAATAAACCTCAATTTCACTTTGGTCGGACAGAATGTCCAGTGGTTTCCTCTCTACGTCGGACAATTTCACGCATGAGTCAGACAATGTCCATGACCGACCGATAGTTTAAGGCCTGCATAGTCGGATTAACCCTAACCCGCAGTTAAAATTTATGTATTTCTACATACAGTATCTTTTTGTTTTAAAATTATGAAAAGAAAACTCCTATGGTACTGATCCAGACAAGATGTCATTTATGAAAAAACTGTTAGGAAGTTTGCTTAATCTAAGGTTAGCTTATCGACTTTCGAACAAGCAAGCCCCTGTATGGTGATTTTGTTTGTCAATGGGGAGTGTGTTGGACTTAAAAGGTTTTAAACTTTCATTGAAACTAGATTGTCTGCCCGCATTTTGTGTCAACACATTATTAAGATAAAAGCGAGGCTACTTTCAGCACTTCATGATTTTACTATGTCTAACATCAGAGGGTCACATTTCATATTTTAGTTAACCCTTTTAGATGCAAAGGACATTTTAGTCATCCAGAGGGGGATGGAGTCCATGAGTAAAATCTTCTGAGACTGATAATAATAAGATGTACTAAGACATCAGTGGAATGGGGTAGGGGGGTTAAATTTCAAGTTTCTTTGTATGTCAGGCTTGAAGTTTTCAAGGATTGATAGATCAGCTTAGATAAAAATGTCAATTTGATGTTTTGTGTGGCAACTTGAATATGGACATCTCCCTAATTGGAAACAGTTAAAGTCCTTAGCTTGTTTGTTCAAACTCATGAATACGTTTAGCTAGCTACACCATCCACATGATCTGCTTAGTAATATATGTAACAACTCAATTCACTCCAATTAACCCAGTTTTCAGCACTTTCTTAAATTATGTCACCTTTCCTAATGCCGGACAAGTTAATTTGTGTGTAGCTAGATTTTGCCCATGTTTCATGTTGACATATTTAGATGCAATTTTCCCTAACACTCCCTACTTTAAGTACTTTAATATTGAACTGTGACGTCTCATGCTAGACAAGTTTACTTATCGACTGTGGACTGTTTGCCCTCATTTCACCTATTAACACCGAAGAAACAATTTCCTCAAAAATGTTGCCTACTTCCGGTTCTTTCTAGGAGTGTGCAGGACAGAGTATTTCTGCTATCCAGCCTGATACAGGATATGCTGGATAGCTGAAAAATATCCAGGGTATCATTCAAATAATTATATACGGTTCAGGCATCATTTAAGGTTAAGTACCGGTAATAATTTTATTTGGTTAAACAGTAAACAGTCTAAAACTAGTTAACATGCATCATTGGTAGCAAAAGCCTCGTTTACATCAGTTAAAAGTTCAAATCCCCATTTACTGTACAAACAAGCATAAAAAAATCTTGAAAATACTGATCATATTTATCATATTTTTACTTCAATGATCATGATATGATAACCTTATAAAATCATTTTCGAACCTGACAAGAAGGCCTGAACCCTATATAAATAATATCCGCCATTGGGCAGCTGGATACCAGATAATGAATTAAAATTTTAATATCCGGCCAGATATCAGTCCATTGCATCCTATGTCTTGAAATGCCAAACAAATTAACTTGTTAAATGACAGTATATTGATATTCAATATACTTAGCTAATATATGCATGTGCCCAAGTGCACCCTACTTGGCTACTTTGTTATGTTGCACTATCTAACACCAGACATTTTACTTTGTGAAATGCCAGGCAATTTTACTCCTCAAGAGCAGTGACCTGCTCACTAATGGTTGTCCAAACTATCTGCCAATGTGCCTTGATAACCCATTAAGCCGAAATGCACACTAATGGACCCGCCTCGTTATTTTACTCTGTCAAACGCCAGACAATTTTAGTCATCAAGAAGAGAGTCCTGCATGCTGGTGGGTTAAATTACTTAATTACATATGTTATATATAAACTTAAGCTGTTATATTGTCTCATTGTATATTAATTTTTTACTTATCTTGACACAGGCTTGTATGTTGGATCGATACGACTACCTGTAAATATGGTTAAACTTGGCTATGTGATTCAAAGGTTGTGGTTCACCGAGCGATAAAGAAAATGATACAACGATGGAATGATGGGATGCAAGTTATTTACAGTGTTTCATATGACAGGTATTCTGATTGTGGAAGATGTGGGGTTGCAATATTTTGACAATTGCATATTTGCATGGCTATAAAGTATGAGACAATTAATATAGTACTGCATTACTCTAATTGCCAGAACACTGCATCAGAATGAGAAGTTGTCTGTTACAGTTCGGTTTAGTAAAAGTATGTACTTTTACTAGTATGTACATATTATTATTAGTCAGCTATGTAAAATGTAATTTGGTCAGTGTCAAATAAATATTTTGTCATGGATAAACTCTGTGCAAATGAGCATGTCTCTAATGTCATTTTACATTTAATAAGAATATGTAGATGTGTTTTCTAATACACCTTAGGTTTGCTGGGTTATATGGCATCTTTTGTAAGTGTGTTATGTAACACACCTTACAACGTGCTGTAAACATTACAGACCTGAATGGTGTGTTATACAGCGCACCTTTAGGTGTGTTTCAAAACACACCATGGTGTGTATGAAAGCACGCCATGGTGTGTACGAAAACACGCCATGGTGTGCTCAAAAACACACCTTTATACAAAACACAGCTCAAGGCGTGTTAAAATCTGGACAAGCCGAAAACACACCTTAAGGTGGGTTTTAGAACACATCTTAACGTGTGTTTAACACACCTTAAGGTCTGTTAAACACACCTTAAGCTGAATTTTTTTGTGCTGGTGTTGTGTACTCAGGTGAATAATATGTTTGCGATGTTACTCTGAGTGCATATCCACACCGGGCGAGCTTGAAAAATATGCCCGGCCACTCAGAGTAACATCGCAAACATATTATTCACCTGAGTACACAACACCAGCACAAAAAATTCATATTAATAGAACACATTGGTATTGAAGGAATTAGACACTGTTCCGAAATATCACTTACTCGAACCGTCCTGACCGCGTAGCTCAGTTGGAAGAGCATTGGGCTAGTATTCCAAAGGTCGTAGGTTCGAATCCCACCGTGGCCGGGCATATTTTTCAAGCTCGCCCGGTGTGGATATGCACTCAGAGTAACATCGCAAACATATTATTCACCTGAGTACACAACACCAACACAAAAAATTCATATTAATAGAACACATTGGTATTGAAGGAATTAGATACTGTTCCGAAATATCACTTACTCGAACCGTCCTGACCGCGTAGCTCAGTTGGAAGAGCATTGGGCTAGTATTCCAAAGGTCGTAGGTTCGAATCCCACCGTGGCCGGGCATATTTTTCAAGCTCGCCCGGTGTGGATATGAACTCAGATTAACATCGCAAACATACACCTTAAAGCTGTGTTACAAAACACGCCAAAAGTTGTGTTAAACATACCTTAAGGTGTGTTCTAAAACCCACCTTAAGGTGCGTTAAAATTTGGACAAAAAGGTGTGTTAAATTAACACACCATTTTTTGGAGTGTACTACTCTCGTGCAATAGTTTTCCCAATCCGCTCATTCGAATTTCAGTTTTAAAGCGATTCAACATTTCACATGTAGACCGCTTGTATTTGAGTCTTCTTTTTCGGTCGATCAGAAATGCTGCTAAATTGTGCAGAAGACGCTGTAAATAGATGAAGCAACATTATCCCATATCCAAATGTTCGCGATGCGAACTTTTCATAAGTTGTTAAAAACGTTAAAAATATCTTTGGAAAAAATAGCTTCACATAATGTCTTTTTGAAACGTTACATTATTATCTGATTTTTAATGATAATTTGATAAAATATTTATAAGTGTTTAAAATTGAAAGATTATCCACTTACTGCAAGGACCATCGTGAACTTTAGTGATATCTTCTTCACTCAAACAATCAGCAACCTCCAACTCGCATTCATTAGAATATGTTTTTCCATCTGATCCACACACTGGACGATTTATCTTCGTGCAAGGTTTTAGGCAGTTTGGATCTTTAATATCAAGCAACGTCAGAGAAGAAATTGTTGAAAAATTAAAAGAAGTTATTTTCAACCTTAAGCGCGCATAACTTGCATGCCCGTCCGGGAAGATTCCATTCCATATATGCTGTTATAAACTATTCTGTGTATTTGAAGGTACCTGCAAAACGTTTTTGCATTATACCACACTTTACGAACTGATTCAGGAAATATCAGTTTATTTTCTTGACATGACATGAGATGCAGCAAAAAATAATTGGGCACGTTGTTCTTGCTAAACATTACAATTTGATACTTTTGTGTTTAATATTCGTTATCATTGCAACAGCGTGCTTACGTCAGCCTCAAAATTAGTGAGTCGGTCAAATAACTTACATGCATTTCAGGACGGATTCCTGGATTTATAGCAAAGGAGATTCTTTATTTACAATGTGGCTCCCTAAGGTTTTTGCACTATACGACACTATAGTATTCCAGAGACTTCTGCTTCTTCCTTCTGTGCAAAGTGTTAACAAATTTACCGAAGGATTAGGGTGAAATGTAGGTTTAATTTTGGTATTTTTTTGCCAGGTCTGACGTCTACAATTGGCGCATCTAACGCGTACGGCAGTCGATCGAGAATCTCGTACCTCACGGGGGGTTCCGCATTCATTTCGTTAACAAGTTTGAAATTAGAAGATATTTTACTCACCGCAAGGACCATCGTGAACTTTCGTGATATTTTCTTCAGACCAACAATCAGCGGTTTCCAACACACATTCATTGGCATAGGTTTTTCCATCTGATCCACACACTGGGTCGTATATGCGAAAGCAAGGTTTTAAGCAGCTTTGTTCTTTGACATAAAGCAATGACAGAGAAGAAATTTTTCATCAGTAAGATAAAAATAACTTTTTTTCTCCTAATTAAGATGCATGTGTTATGCAACCAATTTTAAATTTAAAAGCAGCTGGTATAGGTTTTCAAATACAGCTAGTATAGGTTTTCGCAACTCTTAAAAAAAAATTAAGATTTTGATTGGAAATATAGACATTGTGTGTTATGAAATTTATTCCGTACGGCAACGTCGTTAATCGTTCGAAATGTTCTTATATATTATTTTATAATATAAGTGTGATATAACACACGATTTGATTGGCTAATGCGCGTGCGTTGTGATACAATAATGCACTGAGATCTATGGCACTACTTTGCTCTTTCTCTATTTTCTCCCCTCTTCATCACTGCTTTTTAGCCAAAATTATACTCAAAATTATAGATCTTTTAAAATACAAAATTTACCAGAAAGCAAGAAGGAGAAAAACCAAAGGAACAAAGCAATTTTCTATAATTCTACTTATAAAATTAACCGGCTCGGCATTCGTCGAATTTGTTGTTGTCTCGACAAGTTTTGGGTAAAAATGCGTACACAATAGTCGAGAAAAAAAACTTGAAAAAGATACTGCTGGAAGACCAAATACATACAAAAAGGCAACAAATAAAAACTAAATATAAGTGATTTAGAAAGTACCTTCAATTCTTCTGATAATAACTACTAGATATATTTTCGGCGAAAGACAAGGAATACAATAATTTCGAAAATTTGAACTGAGTAAATAAACACCACGAAACCTACGACTTGCCATCTTTCTTGGCAAATCCAGCAGCCCAGATGCTGAAAAAGTTTGGAAAATTTCTCTGTGTGTCACGGCTTTTTTATTTCCACAATTTTAAACAATTTTTCCGGCTTTATAGCATCAAATGTTTGTATTTTGTTTTTGCAATTTTCCTCCTTCGCTCGCTTAAAAATTCAAGAGACAGTAAAAGCATGCACGTGACGTCACTGAGTACACGTTAGGAGAATTTCAACGTCGATCTTTTGAGTAAAATTGTTTACTATGTAATATTTTCTACTTATATTATAAAATAAATTAAAAAACTCGTCTCGTGCGTTTATGGTGTGATAATGCACTTGGGGAATGTTGGGAGAATGCTCGAGAAGCGTGTAAAAGACTCGGCCAAGCCTCGTGTTTTACACGCTTCGATTCCCTATATGAAATTAGCTGTGTAGACAACGTTTAGCATGTCCATGATTCCATTTCTTTTTAAACTCTGTAGCTATGTTCTATAGCAGTAGCTAATTGGTCAAATGGACCAGGGAACGTTCGCACGTTAGAATGAACAGGCGTTTCCTGAGCAAACCATTTTATCAAATTTGACCAATTCGGCTACTTTTAGTGCTGGGTATGTTTTTACCTTCACTATACGAAGCTTTGAATAATGATATGGAATAAGGTAGAAATCAAGTTTACCAAAAGTCCAATAAATAATTTACTTTCATCCAGACGTGTATTATGTCCCCCTAATTAATTTCCCTTTACTTACAAAACTAGAATATAGATTTTGCATCGCCTGGACTGATGGCTAATATGGATAAAAATTTCGGTTACCTACAGTACTTGCAGTGTAAAGTATGTTTAGTAATTTTTCCTCTATCGCAATACTAACCTATCTGCCTTTCTAACCATAACTCTCAAAGAATTGGTATGCTTGTAAAATTCCCACATTCAGACAATCTTGGACATAACTGGTTGAGACTATTTTCCCCCTATATAAAATTCGCGTATTTTTATGATAAACTCCATGTTGAATCATGTTGCCATTCTTAAACCCCCGCTAACCCAACTCAATGTCGAGCTTGTATCATGGTATATTACCAAAAGTTGTTTTGGCGTTGTTCACAACATTGAATTGGGAGGGGAGACTGTTTTGTCAATGTTCAATAACTTTGTAATATTAGTTGGAATTGTCTCAAGGGTTTTGTCCAAGATTGTAGGTTGGTGTAAACCCCTCCAACTGTGAAACTTGTAACCAATTTACATCCAATTTGCCAGTTTGTGAAATTGCTTTAGATAACGCCAGAAATGCAGTTCTAGGGGTTAAGAAGTGTAAAACTTTTCTGGGGGAGGACCCCCAGATAGAAGATCCCCGTTTTCCCCGATGCTTAGAATGACAGTGCAGATCTGTCACGAAACCTTTATTATAATTGTTACACATCAGGTAAATTTTTAACATTGAAGTTCAAATTTTATATAACATCCTCCGACACATTCCCCTGCTTCAGATACTTCGCTACAACCCTAAGCATTATTGCTGCGGAGCGAGCGAGCCTGAAGTGAGCGAGCGTAGCAGCAGCCTAATATGTGCAGAGAGGGGGTATTGAACTAAATCTAATTTAGCGCATGGAATTGTGGTCGTGCGCGCTTTCTATGCGCAGAACACAAATTTTAAACTCGCTCGAGTCTTCGAATTTTTATAGAATTTCCAAAGCTTTTTCAATTCTAAAGTTACGCTTACATTTGTTTTGGACTTTGGCCGCTGTCAGTTCTATATTTTTGTAATGTTTTGGTTTCTTAGTGTCGTAAGTCTGTGTATATAGTCTATATTTTTCTTATTTAATTATTTCGCCCAAATTTAACATTATTTACAAATGAGGGTTAGAGGCCTACTAAAAACCATCAGGCTTTTGTTTAAGGCCCCTAGGGTAATCAATTACATATAATCATACATTTAACATTAACCGTTCAACAAAAATATTTAACTAGAATGTTCATAATTAACAATAAATGTTGACAATAAAATTATTTTCATAAAGTCGAAGATTCCGTAGTTACTATATATCGAAAACTGCATGCATGCATGCATGTGTACATTATTATATATATATATATATATATATATATATATATATATATATATATATATATATATATATATAGTACATACAATAATTCTAGAGTATACATATTTTTGTTATCTGATTTATTTTACAAAGTTAGGTAACTGAATTGATTTGTAAAAAATATTTTTTAATATATCTTTTGAATGTGCTGTAAGATCCTGTTCTTTTATAACGGTTATCAAGACCATTCCATATCATATA